TTTTTTGTTAAATTTTCCATATCAAACCACGCCTACGCACACCACATACCATTGTAAAATCACTATCAGAATACATACCTTCTCACGTACCTGTAATGTATTAACACATGTAAGTATGTATGTACTTGGTACTTATGTATTTCCCTTTTTTAGAAGGAACCATTTAATTTTTTTTTTCTACATACATGCTTGTTTATGTTACGCATTTTCTGTGCGTCTGTCTAATACAACCCGCCGCTTTCTTGTTTTTAATCGATACGAGTTTGTAACAATCCCAAAGGTTATTCTGTTCGACGGTAGATGCTATTCACTACACAATTCGATATGATTACTCACGTAATTGTTGCACATGGCGCACCTGCAACCAATGTGGTTTTATGTCTGCGTTTCTTTCTTTTTATTTGTAAACATTAAGAAAATTTAAACTCGGCAATGAAAATAGTCATTAATTTTCTCGAGGTTTTTTGATTTTACTTTTTTATTTCGTCTTTAAAGCACCAATAGTGGCCGTGGCATCAGCCATTTTTGGTAAAATTTGTTTGCTTTTTAGCTTTGGACATTTAAGAAAAGAAGATGGTGGTTTCATTTCGGAAGGCAAGCGTCAGCTCATAGGATATAAAAGTAAAACTAGAACGATTTTACGCAGGTGTATCTGCTTCATTTCCCCTTTCCCCTTTCAAAATACTAAGCAGTAATAACTGGTCTTTGAATTTTAAGTTTCTTGTTAAGACAATTTCACTAGATCGAACGTTCTGTACTAACAAAATAAAATTTAATAAAAAGTCAATTTCGTTTTGTGTCCAGATTTCCTTTCGCTTTTCTTTTAATTCAGTTATTCTCTTTACAAGACGTTTCGCCACGGAACTGAAATCGCCAAGCAAGTTTGTTTAAACCACAAAAGAAAGGTTAGCCTATAAACCTAATTCTGGTTCTACCCAGTGCTGGTCAGTTTCACAGGAGATGCTCTACGCTTGAGTCTATTAGGCGCACCTGCAGATCGGGTTGTCTTTTCCTCTGTCAAACAACTGTAGCGTCTTCCAAGCTGATGTTTATGTTTATGCTATAAGAAAGTTAGTAAGACTTCCACTAAGGCGATGTGCACTAAACTCAGCATATATGCAGTAAGAGTTCTTACCGGCGTCATCAGAGGACATTGTGCTATTGCATCGTTGCAAATACGATGGCGAATACCACCGAGTTCGCACCGCGAAAACTACCCCGATGAGAATATGGACGATTGAATTGACCACTTTTTTTATCGATGGCCAGACCTAAAGCTCGTCGGCGATTTCAAGCATCCGTTGTTGGTTACCCCAGCAAC